CAGTCTGCCGGATTCAAGTTGATTTAAAAATATAAAATTATAAAACGGCTATAATATATAGATATAGATATATAGATATATAGATATCTATATATATAGTGTCTGTCCCTGAAGAGCATTTTCCCCTGGATAAGGTAGATGAATGGCACAGATTTTCACTAGGCATTTAAAATAACTCCTATCCTCATTCCTGTACCTCATGCTAAATAAAATACACATTTGCCCAGCCTTTGCTATTTGCTAGAGACATTTATCCTCCCTTTAACATCCATTTTGTGTCTTGTCTCCTCACAGACATATTGTTTGCATTGTGCTGCACTGTTTCTTTTCTCCTTCTTTAGAACTGTCCTTCTCCATGAACAGCTGCATTTCCTCATAGGTTTCCAGTTCCTTTTCTTCAATGCAATTTATAGCACTTTGTTGATCTCCATTTTCACATCTCTCTTTCATCCCTCGTTTACATTTTTAAGCATCTTTTCTTCCTTAGTTTTCCTCAGATGCTACTGCTTTTGCCTCTTTTTCCCACACTTTGTCTCCCTGACTTATTAGGAGAGGCAGATACTGTAACATGCTGCATTAAGACCACGGAGGGGGTGGGGGGGTGGAATTGTGTAACACATGAAAAAGAATTCCACTATTGGCCAGCCTAATCCACTCACAGAGTTCTGGTGGCTTCTGGGGCCAGACATTTTTAGGAGACATCTGTCAGAGGGCCTCAACAGCATTACACATTTCTATCCATATGGGCTCTCTAGTTATATCCTGAGATCATAGGATCATAAGGAAGTAAGGCTGGAAGGACTGTGCATCCTGGTCTTCTACTCATTTTTAATAGATTGGGAAACTACTTAGATGAGATCTTGTATAGTTTCAGAAACTATTAATTAGTTTGCAGTTGTACCTACTTTACTGTCCAGGGGCATGATTTTTGCTAGAAAAGGTTGAGAGATCTAAGTTCTAACTCTACCATTGACGCATTGTGTGACTTTGGGGAAAAAAGTCTCATGCCTCAGTTTCCCCATCCCTATAATGGGAATAATAGGGCCATTTTTTAATTTTTCTCTCTCCTTTCTCTCTTGCTCTTATTTTAACTTTAGTATACTGGATATCAGTACACAAAACCAATGTAAATTACACTGGTTTAAATGCATCATTTGTCCAGATTCTAATTCAGAGATGTTCACTGTAGACAAGTTATCCCCAACTGATGGAAGGATATTATCCCCCTCATGCATCTACTGCTGGCTGTGGTAGTGGAAAGGATAATGGACCATGGATCTGTCCTAGGTTTTTTGAGTCATCACTGTCAGATTTGGTGTCACTGTTATTGGGGACTCTAAGTAGCCATGGTTAATTGAAGATGCCTCAGGTAGTTTCTTCTGTTGTAATGACATTCTCATCTTGCCCCCACCAGCCCTTCATTTGAAGTTCCTAAAAGGCTCAGCATGTTGCTTTGTTCCAGTGTTCTGATATTATCCAGCACTTGCTTTCCATTTTTCCACCTGTTTCTAAATATACATTGTTAAGACATTATTTCAGAGGGCTGTTAGTACATAAGCATTTTTAACAATTGCCGTTACACTGTGAGCATTTTGGAAAATCAAATATTCCACGCAGTATTTTATTTAGCCAGCTGAAGTGCTCCAACCTTTATGACTCAAGGAGGTGTTAGAAGGCAGGGAAAAAAGGTGTTTAGAATAACAACATGCTCACACACTGCAGCTTATATCTCTGCTACAAAATATACAGTGGGGCGGATCCTGCCTGGGGCACAGTAGGCAGAATTCAAAGAGCTTCTGCAGCATGAATAACAGTCAGGTAGATCTGACCTTCCTGAGCTCCATGGAAGGCACAAAGTTTGTACCATGGCAAAGATGGGGGCAGGGGGATCAGGCACTGTCAGGAATAGGCTTCATACTCTGGGTTTGATGCAGGAATTTGTCAGGAATTTGACTTCAATGGGCTTTGGACTGAGCTCCCTAAAGGAAGGTAAGAGATGGACATACTGCCACTGTGCACAGAGGAATCCAAAGATGTGCATCTAGGGCAGTGTGTCCTTGCACTGCCCAGGATTCTGGGTGGGACTAACCAGGCCTGTCCTCATCCAGTGGAAGGGACCAGGTCACATAATTCTGCATCCTTCATACCAAGTAGTATCTGTTTTTCAATGCACTACTCAGATAAGTAAGTGCTACTCAGTGGGTGCGTCTACATGTGCCACTATGGTGCTATTGTTACTGTGCTGTCATTTAGTACTTCCTTTTGGAAGAGTCCTTAGAGTCCTTAGGACTCTATGTTGCTGTAACGTTGCTATGGCGACATAACATCACATGTAGATGCACCCAGAAAGCGCATCTACACAAGATGTTTACTGTGCAGTTGACTAATTAAATGTGCAGCAAAAGTCTCGGCACCTACACATGTACCACTATTAGGGCACTGTGACAGGGGGTCAGTTCAGAGCCAGGTCACAGTATTGGCCTGCCCGCCTGTCTCTGGGCTAACTGCCCGCTTACTTCACCTGCCATGCCTTAGATAATACTATACAATGATGTTAACAAGGCGGGAGGCTACCCATTTACTTGCCCTGATGACAAGGACTGATACACATGACTCCAACCTTCCCTTTTCCTGTCCCATGCCTCACAGATGACAACCTAAGTTGATAAATAGCTCTGGCCTACGGCCAGGCCAAATTCTGCCCCTTGTAGGGTCTCTAACATTCAATACATGTACTCTGCCCTCCACCAGGCCTCTAAAATACAAGTACTACCCTGCTGTGAAGTTTTTTTTTATATGCAACAGCACATGTGTAGATGGTGCCTTGGCTTGCTGAGGTACAGGGTGCTTCAATGCAGGGCTAGCTGGCAGGCAGCCCCCACGCTGAAGCACTCTCATGCCTCAGTCAGTTGCTCTGCAGCACATGAAGGCTGGTCAGAGCAGCCAAGCTTCCATGTGCTGTGCACAAAAAACTCCAGAGCAATATGCCCCAGAATTTTTGGTCCCAGGCGCATGTTCAAATGGCACACCCAGAAGCAGTTTATTTGTGCCTTTATTCATGTGCTTGTAGACATACCCAGTGGGTCAAATTTTGCTACCATTACTTAGATGGGTAGTAATGTTGCTGGTTGTGAAAAAAGGTACACTGTAAGATGTCTGAGGAGATCAATATCTGGCCCTAAGTGATTCATAGTTGCAGAATCAGGCCCCAACTGATTTGCAGGAACTATGCCAAGTCAACTGGGGAGGAGCTAGTACAGCCCCATCCCTCAGCCCTTGGCACTAAATAGTTTCAATCTTCAGTGTCTGGTTTTAGGTTTCCCAGGATGGCTCCATAATATTTGGAAAAGGACCCTCGTTCTTCTAACCATGGATTTTGATACAGCTCTCTCCCCTATCAGGTGGGTAGTCAGTTGCAGTAACCTTGCCATCCAGAGAATAGCTGGCTGCCCAGTTTTTTCTAGAAACAGCAGTTCACCCTAGGTAGGCGCACATAATTAAACAGTTGTGGATTGTATTTCTCGTTAAAAGAGTGTGGACACGGACAGTTTCCTCCATAGTGGAAGGACAATCCCTGCTCTGAGCCCTACTGTAACATGGCTGTCCAAGTTCCTGCCTTGGCTTAGGGCTATAAACAAAGAATTATTTCCTGCTCCTTCCACCCACTGCCATCAGCATAAGGCCAGTGGGGAACACCTCAGCTCACTGATCAATTCAAAGTATGCTAAACAGAGTCACTATTCACATAAGAAGTCTTTTGTGTAGTCGAGCCAAATAAATCATTAACAGAACTCTATTCAAGTCAATGGAGTTACCAGGGATAAAATTGTCCCACAGTGTTTTGGTTTAAAATTTATATTGATTTTTTTTTTTTTTGGTCTATTCCACAGTCCAAAGTATTAGGATGAGCCAGCCAGAACAGTATATACAGTTCTCTGAGTGTAAACAACATACCCTTGACATGCATTGCAAATAGGAAAAGCCATGAACATGAGCATTTCCATTCTTGGCTTGGCCTTTAAAGGCTGTTTAAAAAAGCAAGATATGACAAAATGTAACAGAAGTACTTAGCAAAGTCAAAAAAAGCAGTAACTGCTAACTAGTAAACAAACTCCATGTCTTTTGAGGAAAGTCCTTGTCATTCACAAAATATGTATACTGGTTTACTATGCCATGTTCTTCTCTAATATTAAGTGAATATTCCTAGTATACTACATGAATAAAGTGGGAAGATATATTTCAAATTCTATCCAAAAAATATGGGCTTCCTGTCCTTTCAGCAATGGCTTTGAATTTATAGCCATCTTTCCACTTGCCTTAGCAGGCTTTAGATCAACCCCAATGCTTGCATGATTTGCTCTCTTATGGACAAGAATCATAGGATCAGAGATTCAGAGGAAAAGAAGAAAATCTTGTCTCAGGATTGGCTATCAGCTATCAGTCATGTTAGTCTAAAGTCAGGCATAGGGCAGGGTAGAGATGCACCGTATGGATTAATTATAGCAGAGGTGCATATCCTTTCACAAGCAACAGCTTATTTCATCAGATGCTGACAAGGGACCACAGGGAGCAGAACTACTAAATAGCAGTGATTTAAATACAGAGGGAGGGAAGGAGGAGGAAAAGGGAGGGGACACTGCTGGAAAAGGCAAGGTGGGTAGACGAGAGAAAAACAAAGCAGTTAACTGGTTGAGGGACATAGAATCCCAGAAATGTAGGGTTGGAAGGAACCTCCAGACATAAGGGTTTTAAAAGATAATCCAAGAACAGGATAAGAATCTGTAGTTTCAGTTTAGCTCATACTTAACACAGTCCAGTCTGTGGATGATTTCTTGTTCCATGGTTTCCTGTTCAAGTTGGTTTTTAAAGTTTTGTTGTTTAAGAATACCTACTCTGCGGTCAGAGATGGAATGCCCAGGGTGGTTAAAACATTCTGCTGTGGGCTCGTGTGTCTTTCTGGAGTTGATATCAAATTGGTGTTCATTCATTCTTTCACATAGGGATTGCCACATCTGTCCAATATAGACAAAAAAAGGGGTGCTGTAAGCAGATGATGGACCATATGGTGTTAGTAAAGAATCAAGTGAATGAACTGTTATAAGGTAGGTCAGCACACTTCTATTTTTCACCTTTACAGAGTCACAAGCAGGGATGGGTAAATCCCACAATGTTCAGTTTTTTAGATGCCTAAATATGGATTTAGATGGCTAATTTTAAGTGCCACATTTGAAAATTCAACTCGGACATTACATGGAAACGCAGGCATAAAAATATATTGTTTTACTAAATTTTAAAATACTTGTTTTACTTCATTTAAAATACCTCAGGCTTTAAGCAGGTTTGAGGGGTTTAGAATAATGGTTTAGATGTGGTCAAGTGATAAATTAAATTGCTTTTATAAAAACAAGAAAGGGGAAAATCCTATAATTTAAGAAGGCTTCTCTTCTGTGATGCATGTAGTCTACATACTACATAGTATGAGGCCGCTTATAGATGTTATGGTTTTCTAGGTTTAATCTGGACTACAGCTGTGACTATATACACATGGACATCTGTAGTCCGCATTAAAATTGGCTCCAGACCAAATTAACTTTTAGCGTCATTCAATGAGGGTTAGTTAATGCATACTAGGGCAGTCCAAATGAGGGAATTTAAACTGTATTAATTAACATGTATATATGGCATTGTTTTTAGGATAAGCATTCCTTAGGAATGCAGATAAGCATTGCAAATATCAGTCCTCTCAAGGGAAACTCAGTTGTAGTTTTGCAACAGAACAGAGGCTATCAGGGACAAAGTAACACCTTTTAGGAAGTCAAATGTGCCAACATCTCACCCTGACTAAGTATCAGTATCCAAGCACCCCAGCTACTGGCCTATGAAGAAGGGGGCAAATCTCTTTGATCATCTATTAACCCTTAATTCAAATGGAAATTTGATTCAAAGTGTGTGATATGAATCAGTTAACATTGTTTAGAAAACAGCGAGCAAGTCTACAAATGGCCTGTGGTATATCACTTTATACTAGTTGTTCTCCAGTTTTTTAGACTCGAGGTACCCTTTACTATATTTAATGCCCCCTTCAAAAAGTGACAAGTCTTAGCTTTCAAATTCAGGCTGGGGATTGACTGGCTAAGCGGCAGCTCTGCAGAAAAGGACCTGGGGGTTACAGTGGACAATACACTGAATATGAGCCAATAGCATGGGCGACTGGTGTCTCTCGAGTTAGCAGGGGGCACCAGATTGCCGATGGGGGGGAGGTCCCCTATAGCCGCTGATCGCCGAATGAGGAGGGGGGTCCCCCAGCAGCCGATCACCCAAGTCGGAAGTACACTTCCAGCAGCACTTCTGTTTTTGTGGCTGGAGCTTCCAGGGGGTGCATGGTTGATCTCAGGGTGTGCACCCAGTAATGTTGCCAATGGCCAACAGTGTGCCCTTGTTTTGAAGAAGGCTAATGACATACTGTTATTTAGGGTTACCATATCTCCTGTTCAAAAAAGACGTCACCTGTGGAGGGGGGGGGGAGGGGGCAGTGATATGCCCATGCTCTGCTCCTGCCCCTCCCTTTCAAGCCACGACCCCCACCAGCCCTGCTGCTGCCCCTCATTCCCAATCCAGAGTACCCTGCCCCCAGACCATGCCCCTCACTCCCGAGCCACAGCCCCCTGGCCCTGCCTGTTCCCTGTGCTCCTGACCCACAGTCCCCTGCCCCCTGGTGCCCCTCACTCACAAGGCATAGCCCCCCCAGCCCTGCTGGTGCCCCTCACTCATGACCTGCAGCTGCGCTGCCCCCACAGCTCCCTGCTGCCCCTCTGCTGGAGGGGTTAGTATCTCCCCTGCCTCCCCACCTTGCTGCAACCCTGGTGCCAGCAGGCACCTGCTCCCATCACGTGTGTATGCATGCGCGCGCACGCACACACATACACTTTCTCTCTCTCCTCTCTCTTTCGCTCCCCAAGCCCTGGTCTTACCTGCCTACAGCTACTGGGGCTTGCAAGCAGACACATGTGATGGCCTTCCCCAGTCCTCCCCAGCCCCAAGCAGCTCCTTGCTGGGGCAAGTGAGGAAGTGCTGGGAAAGCAGAAGAAAAGCAAAATCCCAGACATTTGCTGGTATTTAAAAAAAACACCTGGATGGAGATGGGGGGGATAGAAAAAGAGGACATATCTGGGGAAAAAACAGATGTATGGTAACACTACTGTTATTAACAGGGCTGTGTGAAACCAGCGTTCTGCTTTGACATCCGTTTCGACAGAACAGTGTTTCATTTCGAGTGTTGTTTCATTTAAAAAACACTGTTCTGTTCTGTTTCATCGAAACAGTTTTGCTGTTTTGACATTTCAATTGGGCTGGGGAAGGGAACTCAGCCCGGCCCAGTTCACCTCCTCAGCACTGCAATCAGGCTGGGGAAGGGAACCGAGCCAGGCTGAGTTCCCTTCTCCAGCCTGATCACAGCCCTTATTCTTCCCTGTCTCCCATCACCTGGCTGGCTGCTTCGAAACTCAAAATGTTTCAAAACATTCAAAGCAGCCAATCGGAGTGCCCTACAGAGACAGGGACAGACAGCAGAGTGCCACCATGACGGTGGGGACTGAGAGGCCAGAGGGGAGGGGGGCAAGGCCAGCCTCCTTTGAGGCAGAGGGGGATGATGAGGACTGGAGCACCACTGTAACGGAGGGGACAGAGCAGGGGGGCAAGGCCAGCAGTCAACCCCCCCCCCCCCCCGCCCCAGGTCTGCTCCTTGGAGCCAGGGGCTGGTACCCTCCACCCAACAACAGCCAGTATAGAGGGGAGGTGGCAGGGACCAGGAGAGGGAGGGGAGCAGGTGGGGGGGGTGGTTACTGGTGGCTGCGACCCACTGGAACCACAACCACCCCCACGGTCACAGGCCATGGCCCCAGCCCAAAATGGTGGGAGGGAGGCAGGGAGTGGATGTGGCCTCAGCCGTGGTCTAAAGTGGCAGGGGAAGGCAGGGAGTGGCCCCCGTCCCTGGCCCAAAGCTGTGGGGGCGGAGAGGGGGAACAGCTCAGGCCCCAGCCTGAAGCAGCGGGGAAGGAGGCAGGGAGCAGCTCTGGCCCCAGCCCTGGCCCAAGGCGAGGTGGGGGAGGGATGCAGGCCTCTGTCCCCGCCTGCCCCCCGCCCCCTTGATGGGCAATTGGCTAGTGTATATTGCAGAGGACAACAAAGAGGGTTAGAAGGCTGGGGAACATGATTTTTGAGGAGCAACTGAGAGAACTGAGTTTTAGTCTGCAGCAGAGAAGACTGAGGGGGGATTTAATAGCAACCTTTAGCTACCTGAAGGGAGGTTCCAAAGTAGACAGAGCTAGACTGTTCTCAGTGGTGGCAGATGACAGAGCAAGGAGCAATGGACTAGGAGGGTAGTAAAGCACTGATCAGGTTACACAGAGAGGTTGTGGACTATCCATTGTTGGAGGTTTTAAAAACCCAGTTAGACAACATGTTGGCTTGGACTAGATGACCTTGTGAGGTCACTTCCAACCTGCATTTTCTATGATTCTATGATCTGTTTTTTGATTATGGAAAAATAATAGACCATTTTTTCTGTGTAATGAACTCAAAGACTACAACAGGTCAGAGTGCTTTTTACCCTATGCATTCTTATTTGAAATCTTGGGAATCGTGTATAGGTGTTTGCATCCCACAGAACCATTAAGAATCTCGCATCACCACAGGGTGCCATGGCACGTGGTTAAGAATCACTGCCTTATACTAACACTTAACTTAGCCCGGAACTATTACTGTAGAATATTGCAGCATGCAGTTTTTTGCTCTTGTGGAGGTCTTCAACATTGTTTTATACACAGCTTAAATCCCATTATATGTTTGAAGATTTGGAAGAAGAAAGTTGTCAATTCTCAATTCACTGGATAGAAGCTCACATCTGATTAAATTTCTGGCGCCCATGGAACCTTGAACAAGTCACTTTATCTCTCCATACTTCAGTTTTCCTGAACACATTTTCCATTAGCTGTGCTGAGATTAACCTGACCAGAGCTCAAGTTCCATTCTTGGCTCTACCACTGATTTCCTGTTGAAGCTTGGAAGAGTCGCTGTGGGTAGGATATTCCAAAGCACCTGAGTTAGGCACCTAATCTCCTCAGAGGATAATTGGAACTAGGTATCTAACTTACTGAGGCACTTTTGACAATCCTACCCTAAAGTCCTCTGCTCTTCATTTTCCCCATCTCTAAAATAAAAATTGGTGAAACTTCTTTTTTTCTAACAAGGAGAAAAGAACTAACCCAAAAACTTTAACTTTCTTTTTAAAGTTTGGTCAACATTTTCTGTATTTTAATGAAAGACTAGAAACAGAAGACAATAAAAATGTGGGTTTATGGTAAAAAAAAAAAAAAAAAAAAAAATCAGTTCTAACTGAAAATTGAATGTGTCTATTAAGCCTGTTTTTAGGAAACAGAAAACTGTCTTGCACTTTTTTGTTAAAAAGAAAAGTGGGAAATTTAGGGAAAAATATTTCCCTCCCAAAACATCCCATGATGAATCACTGCTGTTTTAACCACCCATAAAGAATTGCCAGTGTCACAGAATGATTGTTTATTTCAATTTGTGCATAGTTGTAAAAATGTTTGTGTTCAATTACATAATTTTATTATTGACAGGTGGTGTGCTTGAGATGAATGTACTGTATTCCGTAATTTCTACTATGTGCAAAGACATTTTGGAAGAGAAAATATACAATAAATGAAGAACATCTGGGCTCTGATTTTGCTGCTAATGTTTCAGCTCTATGACTCCTACAACATCCAATGTCAGCATTGCCCCTTAGAGACAATCTCTTCCAAAGCCATCTGCTAATGCAGGTGATACCTATTGCACCTTAGAGAAAACACTTGTAAGCAAAAATCTTCTATCATTTTTCTCTCTGCAGCTAGAATCAAGAAAAGCCAAGCTTCAGTAAAGTAATAAAAATATAATAGAAAAGATAAAGATCTCACTCCAAGCTACAGAAAATAAATACCTGTGTCTATTTACAGTACAATAGCAATATTGAAGAAAGCGCCTGTAAAGACACTGACTCGAAGACAAGCATTTCTAGAGTTTCAGCTGGAATGTGGATTTATGATCTGGCTGGGAAGCATGTTAGAATCCAGTGAATGGGAAGAAGAGGTGATGAGGGTTGGGGCCATGAAACTTCACAGGGATCTGGAGAATAATTCAGTGTGGACAAATGGCAATGTGCTTCTGATAAGTAGCAGAGAATTAGTGATATTTAAAAACATAAGCACAGACATATCCAAGAAGACCGTTCTTCTTTTTTTTTTTAACTTGAGCTTTTTATATCTGGCAGGGTTAATTGAGGATTTCTGTAGCATGCCAGTTTAAAGTGCCAATATATATGAAAGACAAAGTACAGTGCAACTTACCGATAATGCAGTTGCTAGAGCTGTATTTCTAAGTCTTGTGTGGTTGAAGACACAGTGCATGCCTTTACATTCCTTGTAGCAGCTTGAGCTCCATGGAATAAGTCAACGATAGAGGACCAAGCATTTATTTGATCTATTTATATTTCAGCCTCAGTACTCAAACCTCTCCGCATTCACACTGCCTAACTGATATTGAATTGCTACCACCCATCATTAGTCCAAGAAGTTGGATCCATGAGTTCAACCAAGTTGTGTTCAGTGCAGGTAAGAGGGGAAAAGGCCACATTGCAGAAGTCCCATTTTCTGTGCCCCTATGGGCTGTTGCAAGGGTCCACACTATAGTACTGTGGGCTATAGATCTGCACCTGTCAAACCTTCTCCTGCCCCACCCCAGCTCCACCCACCCCCCCTCTGCTGCAACTTCAACATGCCCTTATGCTTACTATGACATGCCTCCTGAACTAACTTACTGCAGAGGCAGCACAGAGGTGACAGCATCCACAGTACACTCAGGGTAGAGATTTACCAGGAGTCTACCCAAATGACCCCATTGTGGAGATGAGTCCCCAGGTAGTGAAATCCTTGTCCCATTCAACTCCAGAGCTAAACTCCCACTGGATTCAAAGAGGGCTCCATACTTTTGTGGGGTGAAGCACAAAACTTCGCCCTGGGCCCAAAGCCAGGTACAGCCTACCCTCAGCGGGAAAATTAGTCCTCAGGGTATACTGGGGCCCCCAGTGTATTTGGATTTCAAGGCTGATCAGTCTGCAAGCTATATGGGGGTGTGTACAATACAGCCAGGGGTGGATCCAGGGTTTTACAAAGGGAATGGCAGGAGCAGTGACCAGAGCAGCCTCCCTGCTCCCAGCCTCCTCCCCCTTCTTGTTCCACCCAAGTGGGCAGACTGTGTGGAGGAATAGCATCCAGGGACTTTTTTTAAATTCCGAAAAAGGAGAGAATATCTGCCATCCTTTCCCCTCTGTTCCTTTCCCTGCTCAGAGGCACATCCTCTCCCTTCCCATTCCCCCTTCCCTCACCAGCTGCTTCCAGTATCCTTGCTGTCCCAGCAGCAAAAGGGATTTCCAGAGTTGCTCCAGTGGGCTAGATGGGGGCTGGGCTCAGCCTGGAACAGCACCAGCAGGCAGGTTCCTCCTCCCTGCATGCTCCCCCTCGGTGTTCCCCACCAGCCTGGGAGCAGACTGCCCCTCACCTGCTTGCATTTCACTACCACTGTCCCAGGCTGAGCCCAGCCCCCACACAGCTCAGTTGGTGTGGGACATGAGCTCCCCTCACCATGGGGACAGCAGAAACACTGACAGCAGCAGGTGAGGAGTGGTGAATGGGAGGGGAAGGTATGTGCTTCTGAGCATGGAGGGAAAGGGGGGGGGGATTTTGATTTTTTTCAGAACTTAAAAATGTTCCCTAGTTGCTGCTCGTGCCACATGGTCGGAAAGGGGGGTGTAGCCACATCACTTCAGCCCTCCCCCCCCATCCATCCCTGAATACAGCTCTTGGTGGTTTGGAATGCCTTGGATCTATTCCAAGGGCTGATTCTTCTCTCATATCAGCTGTATAGTAATGAAACTACCTTGGATTCAGTGGAGTTACTCCACATTTCTACCAGTGTACATGAGAATGGGATTAAGTCTTGACTATCACCATTTTGGCTTTCAAATACTTGACAACTCAATGATCCCTGTACATTACTCTAGCAGGATACTTAACTGGGTGTCCATTACATTAATCGCCCCCCTCAAGCTTATTTACACTCCTAGAGCACTGCAAAAGGCCCTTTGGATGAAGGAAACCCAGAGAGAACTCAGACCAGGGTCTCTAACAATTCAAAAGCCAGATGCACAGCTGGTATTAATCATCACCGGTGCACTGAAGTCAATAGGGTACATTGATTTACATCAGTTGAGAACCTGGCTTACTCTCGTTGGCTTCCTGATCCAGCACTGTGATTCAGTAAGAAAAACTGAGTGCTTCTAAAGGAAAAAATGTAATAGAGATTTTTTTCCCCCCAGAATGAACTTTCCACCAAAACAATGCAAATCAGGACTGTTATTGTTTGGGGAAAATGAAGAAGGGGTGGAGGGAGATGACACTAATGCTGATGGGATTCTCTTTGGTTTGAGAAGATCAAAGACTGTAAGCCACTGCCAAAATAAATATTTGAAGCCTTAGTTCTAAGAGGATGATTAGCATGCAGCACCCTTTTCAGAACACCACTCATCCTCAGTAAATTGTACTGAGGAACCGAAGATGCGTATCCTGCTTCTGAGAGCCTAATTCCTCTTACAACGCAGATAAACCAATCCCAGCTTCCCTCTATCGCTGAGCCCTCCCTTTCACCTTCCCATGTGAGGCCTGAGACATTTCTGGCTGCCTTACCTCAGTTTAACCCTGAAAACACTCCCACCTGATCCTTTTTGGCTGTACTTTTCTATTGTTAGTAATCTACTCTCTTCCTCAGTTCATTCTCTTTTCTGCCTGTCCTTAGTTTCACCAGATCTTACTTGTGTTTCCTGATTCTTGTCTTGTTTCTTGAGTCATGAAGCAGCACCTGGGATTCCTATGGTCATGGGGAAAAGTAGGGCTGGAAGGGACCTCAGGGGCGCATCCACATATGGCTGAGTGGGTGTGCTGGCTGGTGTAGTGCACCTGGTCCCCTCAGGGGCTGGTGGTCTAGGCTTGGGGGCCCTTGCCCTTCCCAGCCCCAGCTGTGGAGAAGGCTGAAGAGGAGCCCTTCCCACTGCCCTTGCCCTTGGTCCCTGATGACAGCAACGGTCAGCTTTCCCCTTGGCTCAGAGATGGTGGGACATGGGGAAAGTGCGCATCTGGCTTTTTTGCCGCAGCTACACTTCGGGGCATACCCAGCAGAGGGAGGCAGTCCAGAAGCAGCTCAAGTGGGAAGTGCTAGAGCTGGAGAGGCACCTGGCCACTGACCCAACCAACCAGTCCCTCTGCGGAGAGTGTCGGGAGAGGCAGGATGAGCTTTGTGCTCTGGACGACCACCACGCCCATAATGCATTTGTCCACTCATGCGTCCAGCTCCTTTGGGAGATGGACCATGGCTCCTGCTTCTTTAATGCCCTGGTAAGGAGGCAGAGGGCCAAGAAATACATCACCTGCCTTCTGGCAGGTGATGGCATCACACTCACAGATCCAGGCACACGCGAGCCTTCTGCAAAGAGCTCTTCTCCCTGGATCCGACCGATACCGAGGCCTGTCAGACCCTGTGGGAAGGACTCCTGTGGGTCAGCATGGGTGATCGGGACCAGCTGAATGCTCCTTTCACTCTGGCTGAGTTTTTGGCTGTGCTCCACCTTATGCCTGGCAACAAGGCACTGGGCATCGACAGGCTGACCATGGAGTTCTACCGGACCTTCTGGGACATCCTTAGCCTGGACCTTGCCATGGTCTGGGCTGAATCTGAGGGAATTGGGGAGTTCTCCCTGTCATGTCAGAGGGCTGTGCTGACCCTCCTGCCAAAGATGGGGGATCCCCACAACCTGAGGAACTAGTGTCCCTTGTCCCTCTGCATGGACAAAAAGGTGGCAGCGAAGGCCGTCTCGCTGTGCCTGTGGTCCGTGCTGATGGATGTGATCCATCCCGACCAGATGTACACGGTGCCCGGACGTTCCATCTTCGACAACTTGTACCTGGTTTGGGATTTCCTGGAGCTAGTCCACTGGGAAGATCTGTCTTTCACTCTCCTATCCCTGGACCAGGAGAAGGTGTTTGACAGGGTGGATCATGGGCACCTCACAGGCACGCTGCAGGCCTTTGGCTTCGGGCCCCACTTCATGCGAGCTCTCCAGGTGCCATACACCTCTGCAGAGTGTTTGGTCAAGCTTAACTGGACCCTGACAGAGCCCATCCCATTCAGGAGAGGGGTGTGTCAAGGCTGCCTGTTGTCAGGCCAGCTGTACGCCTTGGCCCTGGAGCCCTTCATCGTTCTCCTGTGGAAGCGGGTGGTGCGATTGGTGCTCTGGGAGCCAGCACTGCAGCTGGTCCTCTCAGCATATGTTGACAATGTACTCCTTATGGTCCAGGACTCGGGTGACCTGGCACAGGTGGAGGCCTGCCAGGCATTGTACTCGGTGGCCTCCACTGCCTGGGTCAACTGGGTCAAGAGTTTTGGCCTGGTGGCGGGTGACAGGTGGCAGGTGGGCTCACTCCCACCTGTGCTCTGTGGGATCTGCTGGAGCATGGGCTTGCTGTTCTACTTGGGGGTCTACCTGTCCCCCACAGAACCCTCCCCCCCCGGAAAACTGGCACCAACTGGAGGCAAGGGTGGTAGAGTGGCTCTGGACATGGGCAGGACTCCTGAGATGTCTCTTCCTGCATGGGAGAGTGCTGGTGCTGAACCAGCTCATCCTGTTCATACTCTCATACCGCTTACACACCCTGCCTGTGCCCTGTGAGGTCCTGGCAGGACTCCAGAGATGGGCACTGGAGTTTTTTTTGGCTGGGATGGCACTGGGTTGCTGCAGAGGTCCGGAGCCTCCCCTTGCAGGATGGTGGCCAGGGCCTGGTTTGCCTACACAGCCATGTCTTGGCTTTCTGCCTGCAGGCCCTGCAGTGACTGCTATATGGTGTTGGTAGCCACATGGCATGGGGCCACCTGGGGCACGCTTTCCTTTGCCACTTCCAGGGGCTCTGATATGACTGGCAGCTCCTCAGCTTGCGGGGCTTCTTCCTGCAGGACCTGCAAGGGCTGCCAAAGTTCTATCAGGACCTCCTCCAGGCCTAGAGGCTGGTCTCTAGGAGGCGCCCCAGTTGCAACAGAGGTTGATTCTGGCTGGTGTCACCTGTATTGGAGACCTCCTGGACTATGATAGGTGGGAGTGGGTGGACCCTGCTGCGCTGGCACATGGGTCTACCCATGACACGTGCAACCTGCCATCTGGTCCAGGAGGTGAAATCTGCCCTACCTCCTGATGCCCTTGCCTTTGTTGACCAGGTCCTGTGTGGTGGTGCCCCCCGCCTCCCCCCGCCGTGTCCTCCAGCCCACTGGAGTTTGTCGTGGGACTGGCGCCTCACCTGGTTTCACAGCACTTCCTGCTCCACCCCCTGAGCCAGCTGGAGGACACCAGATCAGTCCACTTTTCCACTGTCCATCGCCACCATCTCTACACACTCAGGCACCACACTGTCCATCATGCCGCCCTCATGTCCCGCCCAGACACCAAGTGGTGGGACCTGCTCAGTGAGGGTGTGGCTGGGGCACCCCAGTGGCTGAGTATGTACTC